ACATTTTGCTTATTGAGTACTTAAAAAAAAAAATTACTAACATTGCAAAATAGAAGAGAACTTTTCGACTTGAGTTTAGTCCACTCCATCTAAATACCAGCTTTACCAAAAGTTCTAAAGTTACCGGATATCTTGTAACACACACATATTGTAGAAAAAATATTTCCCATTGTTAATATTCTCGAAAATATATAGTTTCTCATTGTCTTCTCTACCGCCAAAGAGATTTGGAAAAGCGAAATACACATGTTCGAGGCATTTTCTCGCGTCTTTCAAATTCCAGATGACGTCCGTATGTCACAGACTCGTTTGTCGATCGCCGCCGCGCCGGTGAAAACTACAATCAGTGAATGTTTAGCTGCAATGTAACCGCACTCCAGGCTGTTTACAACAACAGTGGTTAAATTAAAATTTTCTCCCAAATGCTGACGCGCCAATTTTGAGCGGCGCGTACGTGACCGTTACGCTTTCCTCGTCACGTTCTAACGCGGTCGAGCAGACAAAAACTGGGCCGCGCCAGCTGGATGAAGCTCTATTACATGCTCCGGCAAACGGAGCAATCGAACTGTCACGGGACTTGGAGTTGGAGTATAGCGCTTCCTCACCATCATTTGCGATCTCGCGCGGATCTCGAGTATACATATATGTATGTATGTTTAATCAGATCGGATTCATCGCATCCGTCTCTTATCTACGAGCTATAACAACGATCTACGATCGCCGATAGAGCGAGCTATGTCTTGCGTAATGCGACCATGTTTTTACTTCATTAAACTTTACAGCTGAAGATGTTTCTTGCACTGTACATCTCGTCTCTTCGCTTTCAACATAGAGAAGAATAGAAAAAAGATGAAACGCGCAAAAGTTTAGCTGTAGCAATGACAAATATTTTCTCGCGTACATTGTAGTCGTGTCTACGATAAATGTTTTCGACATTTGACAAGACAAATAAGGCATTCATAGTCGATTCTTATGCTTAAGACTCAATCTTAAGTCTCGAGATTTCACGTACGCGAATCAGAGACCGGTATATTTACAGTTCGTCCTTATTTTAAGGTCATCTTAAGTAATGTCTTAAGATGCTTATGCGGCTCCATAATTGGTTTATAACATATGCAATTAAGAGACGATCTTATATATAAAAAATCGATTATTAATACTGGTCACAGTGACGTATTAACATCTTAAGATATTCTCGGATAGCACACAATATTTATAGAACATATATATTTATAAAATATTTGTAAGATTTATTTATGATATTTTGTAAACCTTTTGGTGGTCTTAGATTGCATGGATCATAGATATTTAATATAAAAATTATGAAATATTTATCTTATATTGTTACAGTTAATACTACGAAAATATTTAACAAGACATTATAATCTAAGTAAAAAATGTTTATTAAAAATATTTGTCTATATTAATCATAATCATATAAAACATTTGGTCTATTTTTTAATGATTAATTTCGAATAAAGCTTATATAAAATATTTATATATTTCAAAAAATTAATAATAATAAATATTTATGAATATTTATTATAAATATTCTGTGCTATCTGCTTACTTAAGAGGGTCTTCGAAAACTCGATTAAAGATTGACTATTATAAAGACGAAGGCTCGCACAAAGATGATACGATCTCATGCTATAATATCACTGCGCGTTAAATATAATGTTTCAGGAGATACGATATAGTGTGTTTGATTCTTATTAGAAAAAAGACTCGTATCTCTTGATAAACGATATCTATAACTAGATCGAATGCCTGGTCGTACGTGTTGATCGCTGCGTGGATCTTCCCAGGGATCTCCAGCGGGTTCTGCCCACTTCTGGTCAATTACGGCGGTACGCAGGAGAGACGTAGATCCATTCGCGTGGCGGATCGGCGCTCGCGCTGCACGGGTTTTTGTTTTTTTGGTGCCACCGATGTTGCGCGGCAGAAAATCGCGCGCACAGAAAATATATGTATATATCGGAGCACGAGAAAATCGATTCTACTCACTCTTTCATTCTCCACGGTGCGCGACGCGAGCTGTACCGGAGTCTCCAGCAAGGTAAGAAGAACGCAGTAGAAGGGCCTTTACGCGTAAACAGTTTGCATGCGGAGAGTATACGCCACGCGTGCCCGACGCTACCGCCGCGGTGCCTTTCATTTAACTGAAGCGGACTGTAGACTGCAGCAAAGCAGATCCGCAAGCATCCGGTCACCTCACCAGCCGTTACTCGATGCGCTCACTCGATCGCCCCGCTCTTTCCAAACGAATGTACCAGCCGAACGAACTGGAGGGCGCATGCGCGCACTCGTCGTTGAAAAGAAGCGGGAACGCAGCGAATCTGAAGCACATTAGTTATATTTAATAGAGAAACCAATTTTGCAACTACTGTGGTTATTTAATATGATTGATCTCACTCTTAGTTCCTCACTGGATCTAAATGTATATAAACCAATCATATTAAAGAATCTTACAACAGTTGCGAAACTCCTTTCTCATTGTACATCGACAAAACACAGAGGCTAGATATAATAATATGAACATCTGAGAAATATGTACTACTTGTTTTATTAATAATTAGAATATGTATAGCGCTATAAAGTTAAAAAGACTCTCTCTATTTCTTTCTTTATTTAATACAAAAAGCCTTCTGCATTTGTTTCTAATACCACAGACTTTATCTTCTTGTTGGAATAGTCATACAATGATTAAATAGTCGTCGTCAGTGCAATGTGATGCCATTCTTTTAACGATGTGCAATCTACGGAAAAAATTCACGAGTGAATGAAATAAACTTCCTTCTCCTCAACATTCTGTTAAAAGCAAAAGTGGGACCAGTTTCTTATCAATAAAATAAGTAGATAGGATATTTTCCAAGTATTCATGTATTAATTTGTTCATCCTCTTTGTATCTCTTGTAAATACCTTATAATATTGTCTTAAGGATTAAAATAAACGTATTGACAACGTTTAGCTGTACAAAACATATTTATTTAATAATTTATGGAGATGCGCATACACAGCGTACAACGTACAAGCATTCTTGCAGTATCGCTACTTGCTGAAAAGTCGCATTCGATTTTCTAACGATTATGTACAATCACATCTTTCATTTAGCGATCGTCGGATGAAACAGGATCGTTTGCTATTAAAATTCCTCAAGTAAGAGAATTAGATTAAAGACGGTTTTGTAATAGAATCGCAAGCCGTAAGTCGTAAGAAATTATCCAATCATGGTCGATTATTTTTTTTATATTAAACCATAATCGGTCAATTTTTTACGGCTTATGATTTTTGCGACCATATTATAGAACAAGTTGAAGACATCGGTCGATTAATATAGAATGTAGATTTATTTGTCTCATTCTGTCTTATAAGATAGAATCAGACAGACATCGGCTGCTTAAGATAGAATGAGAAAGCAACCAATAGAACATAATTATTGTGCTCTTGCCTTACGCCTCTACAACACACGATGCGGTTTTTCCACTGGATTCTCAACTGAATTTGTGTGCTTCCTGCTGTGTTGGCAATGTTGTTGGCCATGTTACTGATCTGATTTCAGACGGTGCGAGTTTTTGTGTTAGCTGAATAGCTGGATCTAACTTGACAGTGGAGCTCGAATAAATAGATCACAATTCGTTGCTGCTGTCACATAAAAATATGCAATTAAAATTTTCCGTCTATTTTTTTTTCATTCCTTTTGTAACACGTGGTCGTTATATTTTTCTTCATATTTTTCTATTTAAGCAAATAATACGTGATCAAAAAGAATACTTCAATCACATGACATTAGAATGCATTCTAATTCCTTCTTATAATAAGCGAGCAAAACCATGTAAGAAAAATAGCACACTTGACCTTCTAGCTGTCTAGCAGATCAACCAGCAACGTGTCCATCGTATATGTACTATTTTGTTTTATTTATATCTTCTTATTACATAAAATAGATCAATCAAAAGTTATCATTTAGTATTAACTTTTACTTGAGGAACTCTATTTACTATAAGCGACGAGCGCCACGAATTTTACTCGACACGGCGCGCTATTCGATAGCGAATCACCTAAAAATATTTAGTCATCGAATAATTCTTTCTCTCACTTTCTTTCTTCCTCTTTTCCAATTGCGAGCCGATGCCGAGAGAAATTAGAGACACAATTAGAATATGTACGGCCGCGGCGCATAAATATACAAAGTTAAAAAGACCTGACTATTCAGACCCGATTTCTTTTGTTTACCTAATACAAAGCTTGCGTTTCTCTACATGCAATGTTGTTTGCATTCTGTCAAAAATATTCTATGTACAAGGATGGGGTATGTGTGCTTGTAAAAAGAATATACGGTTTCATAAAATGAAGATCGCGTGGCTTTGTCTCACGTCGTAAAATATAGCAAGTCTCACTCGTCCACTAAGATTCTGCATATTAGAAGGAGAGATGGTCCGCCGAAATTTAATGCGCAGGCACCGAATCTGTACACAATGCAGTACTTAATATCTATTAAAAACCCGTGTATATTACACACTGCAAACTGGAAATACAGATTCTCTCTCTTCCTCTGAGATGTCGCGACGATTTCTCGTACGAACCACATTTAAACATTATTAGATGTAGTGCGCTAATGAGAAAATCTTGATTTGTAAATAGATTTTAACTATAAAGAGATATCTTATAATTCAACTATAAAGAGATATCTTATAATTCAACATGACAACATGGTACATGACAAGAATGATCTTTGATTCAACAGTAGGATCTCGTTATTACTAATTTGTAATAATAAGATTCTGCTATTATTAAATATATCGAATAACACGTTTTGAAGTCGGTATATCACCTTTCACAAAATCATCACCACCATTTTCTAAAATTTCACACAAATGCTTTGCGAATAAACGTAAAAATAAGTACTACAACAGTTAAAATGAGAATGTAACTAGAAAAATGTACAAATAAAGGAACAGATCCTTTGTGATTTTTGTACATCTTGAATGTAGAAAGGTTAATCTTGCATATCTATATGCGACCTATATTGTAACCTCAAGGGTGGGTCCCGGAACCTCCATCTCGTCACATAAACAAACTTCAATGTGTGGTCTTTACCTAATAATTCGTTATTGCACAAAATATCGATCTGTCGAGAAATATAGACAATTAATAAATGACAATAGCAACATCATCTTTAATAACAACATCAGATATACTTACATCTCTATATTTTTCCATACCATTCAAAGCCTTTTTGGCAATGAACTTTTTCATATGCGTTATCGTCGCCTGAGCTGAACACCTGATAAATCGTCTCTTCAGAGTCTTCAAACTTGAGTTTGTACACTCCAAACATACGTTAACCTGTGAATTTAACATATTAATTTTAACCGATTAAAGTACTCTACTTTTGCAAACTTGTGTTTTTGATGCTGTAGTTACCTGTTCATCAGTACGATGATAATCTGATTCTGCATGTGCGTCAGCATTGGCTTTCTCTTCCTCAACTTCTCCAGCGTTTGGCAGAATATCTTTAGGACAAGGCAAACCTCTGGCTCTGTAAAATTCTCTTTCTCTTTTGATTTCATCTAAAATAAGAAAATGTTTCTGTTAATAGTTGGATGGAAAGTAAAATTTATGTCAAAAGAACAGAAAATAAAGTAAAAAAACCAAAACAAGTAAAAAGACCTTTTTACTCTAGATTATTGCTTTATAAAAACAAGCCTTGAATTCATATTCACTGAAATAAAGTCCTTACTTTCTTGAAGATCAGGAACTAATTTGTATACAATATCCTGCATAGTTCTGTCGAAGCTGATGTACTGTAGTGGATGTGATTGATGTATCACAATTTGACATGTCGGACAGGTATGCTTCTCCTCTAGATGCTTTACCAAACAGCTCTTGCAGAATGTATGTAAACATTCAGTAACAGTAGTAGCGTCAATTAAATATCCGCGACATATCTTGCATGTTATGTGACTGTTCAGAGTTTTCAGTTTTATCCTTCTTTCCATGGCATCGACAATCACCATTTAACAGAGAGATATTATCTGTAATGACGGATAGAATGGTTGCAATAAATGATATTAATAACCGAAGGTTACCAGAGCGAGAAGGTTGTTGGAATTAATGAGAACGAGTCACCGATGAAAGAAATACGAAGTTCAAAAAATTGCGAACGAGTTGTTTTAATCCGCTGTTACGAGAACACGCGGATACGATTATGACGGAGCAGTGTGCTAAGTTAAAAGCGTGCGGAAAGTGGGTTATCGGATTCTAACCTCAATTTGAAGCGTTATCGTACGGTAATGTTACGCCAGTTTTTACTCGTCGTGGATTTTTGCGGGGTGGATTCGCAAATCCCACTGCATACTTGAATCTCGATCCACAGGTCAGAACGAGTGATTTACAGAACTTAATGGAGTTTCACTAAAAATCTGTTTTAAAAACAACTCAATGCCTACACATACAAGTCATACGACAACAAAACGGATCAAAACCGACTGAGGAATGAGGCAGGCGCCGCTCGCCGCGCTCGCGTCAAACGACTTTAACTATAATCATGGTAGAAATATTCTACCATGACTATAATCAGAGAAGTCTGAAAATCAGAATCAGAAGAGAGATAAACCTGAGAGAGATCATGACGGCCTCTTTCCTGTTATATCGTCGAAATCGTCCCTATACTGTCGTCAGTATACTGATTGTGAGTGCAAGCGATGCAATTCTCAAACCGAAAATGGACAATTTCGATGGTGAATTGGTAACAGGAAAAAGGCCGGTATATGGCTCCACATAACACGTTTCTAGGAGGTTTAGGACATTTAAATATGATTTTACATGTAGGTAACTTATTTTACAGTTTAATATCAAATGTTACATAAGTAATCTCGATATAAAGTGATAGAAACGACAAAACATCTATACAGCAGTATAATTTTATAATCACGTATATTATTCCGAATAATAACACTTAGTCGTAGAGATATATACGATAATTAATTAAATAATTAATCATAATTGCAGTATTAAACGTTTTACGTTTAGTTCTTTTGAATCTCGTGTCATGTATTTTGTTTTCGTGTATTTTGCTCGTATGGTTTGAAACTACCATATATACCTATATAATGTGTCGTTTAAACATTTGATTTTAAAAATAATAATTTACAATTGTAATTACCATGCGGGGGGGGGGGGTATGATAAAACCAAATTAATTTAATTTATTATAATCAGTGCTGTGGTAAGTTTCCAAAAATTCGCTATTGTGTCCGGAAACTTTTCGGGGATAATGCATATATACATTAAGTTTGTGTTATACCAAAATAGCTGTTGATATTATTTGAAAACAAGAGATAAACTTACTATAGTTTTATATAGGTATGTCAACTAATACGCAGTACAATATAATATGTATTTATTATAAGAAATTGCTTAGATGATATTTTGTATTTACTATACGAATCCGTTATCGACAATTTATGTAGTATTATTATTTATGTAGTCTACAACGTCTTTTCTGTAAAGTCTTCCTCTAAAGAGTAAGATTATTACAGCATCTCGAAGCATATTATTACTAATATTCATATTTCATTCCGTGATAATTGTTACAAGAGTATACAAATTTTTTATTATCGAAAATTACATCTTAATAACACAGTTTTAACATCCATGGTAAGTTTCTAAAGACATGCTTAATACTTTATATATATATATAGTTCGCTTGATTTAATACATATACCTACAGACGAAAAGTCATTTATTTAAATAATTAATTTTTGAAAGAGTTTTCCAAATAAAATTTAAATCATTTAAAATATGTCTGTATAATAATTTAATTCAATAAAGGTTTTAAATTGTTATTTACAGTTTATTGATTTAAAAAATTAATATACTTATTATATTAAAATCTTACAATATATGTATAATATTTTATAACAAATAAAATATGTGAAATAAAGGATAATTTTCCGTTTATTAGATGATGTGTTGTCCTCTTGACGTTTCTAATGCTCAAAAGCAACATTTTTTATACTGAATTTAATTTGAGATAAATAATATAGATAAAAAATGAATCTATCGACCTTTGCAAACACCAAATTCAACAAATTTTTCTAGATTTATGTCGTTTCGTATCAACGAAAATTAAAAGAAAATATTCCCAATACAAAAGCGTTTATTGAATAAAACAAATAATTTATTACTTTGATTTAAGTCATCATATATATTTCTTTCTAAACAAGTTTAATTATTTAAAAATATAACTTATATCTGTAAAATATAACAAATCTGTTATTTAAAAATTGTTTTCCAAAATAATCAACGGATATAATATTTATGTATCTATGAATAGTAATATTTTGAATACTTTATAAAACATTTTAGAGAATATGAAAACTGAATAAGAGTAATATTCCTATAGTCTAATTATCACTATCACAACAAAGTAAAAAATAGTATTAAATACTATTAAAATTAAAAACATTTAGTGTAATTTAAATGTTGTTTGCTATTTATACGTTTATAATTCTTAATGTTACAGTTTCTCATACAACAATTCCTATGCTCTGTAGATGCTATTGCCATAATATTCTATTTTCTTTAAACATTTTGACAGGTGCTTGGAAGAAATATTTATTCAATATGAATTTGGCACAGATTAGTAGTAGCTTAACATTTATCACCATGATAACTATTCTTACTGGTGAACATATATTTTATTCCGATGCACCAAGTGATTTTCATTTACCAGAGTATATAATACCGGTGCATTATCACATAAACCTAATTCACTTATCTCTATATGAAACAGACAGTATCTATTGGAAACTCATAACTATGAATTATGAAGAAGGCAGTTTTCCATTTATCGGAATATGCAATATAACTTTCCATGTTCTTCGCTCGACACAAGATATAACATTGAATTCATTACATCCGATTATAAACGATAAAACGATATTAATTAGAAGCGACGGTAAAATTTACCACATAAACGAATATACTATTGAAGTAAATATTATTTGCTTTGGCTTCACCGATGTATTGACACCCGGACTATACACTTTAAAAATTCAATTCTTTGGTCACATTTTAAAAAAATATGCTCAAAACTTTTTTGAATACTCTCACACCAACAATAAAAATAGTATGATGTAAGTAGATATTCAGAACTTAAACATATACATATATATATACACACACATGCACACATATACCTATGCATCGTATAAATATATCGTATTGGACTTAACACACGAGGGTATCCAAATCTTCTATTTCAAGTAACATATTCTTCTATAAGAAGAAAAAAAAACTACAATTTATTTTCTGCTTTATTTATAAAGATTTCATATTATATAATTTTGCTTTGTGTAACTTTATACTTATTTAAATTAGAAAAAAATCACTTTATTCCGTTACAGTAACATCGACCTTCGAATAAACACGGTTTGCATTATACAATAAAATAACAGTTTTTAATATTGCTTTTGAAATCCAACCATACAGTTAGAAATATGTGTATAATTATGCAATGTAAGTATTTAATACAATCACAAAAATTGTTCATTATGGTAGATGGTTGATCTCGCCAACTATCCAATCGACTGAAGATGGTCAGTTATTTCCTTGTTGGAACGAGCCGCATTTAAAGACCACGTTCAAAGTGTTTATAAACTGTCATCGCAATTATAAAGTTTTATTCAACATGCCGATACAAACCTACAATATTATTGATGAAAAATCTGCGTGGACCCATTTCCATGTTACTCCCCCAATGTCCATTTTGCAATTTGCTCTAGTTTTTACCAATTTTTCTCGCATTCGTATTAATGAAAATGTTTCTTTGTGGTGCGACAAATGTTCAAATCAGCAATCTATTATCTTTGAGTTTACAAAAAATCTCATACGAAATATCACGTTGCATTTGGAATCTGAATTTAGTGAAATAAATATTCCAAAAATGGATCACATTGCAATTCCAAATTTTCCATACGATGGCACATCAAAATGGGGATTAATCTTTCATAGGTATGCAGATTCATATACATACTTATACAGTAATTATACATACTTATATAAAACACGTACCATTATCCCATAATGTTAGATAAACTGTTTAATTACATCATTTACAATTTTAAAATCTTTACACGGGCGCGCGCGCGTATATACATTTTATAACTTCCATACAACTAAGAAGTATAAATAAAATAATAAACAATTGGTGTCATTATCATCAGATATAAGTTGACTGTTGTGCTTTATAGGCATTAAAGAAAATTCACTATATATATATATATCATTGAAAAATTAATTAAAAACGTAAAAATTTAACGAGATTTTATACATTTAATATGGAAATAAATTTGAATAAATAAAATTTAATTTATTACACATACACATATTTTTTATTGTTTCAACTTTTCGAAATTGTAATTTAAACTTAATATGTCAAATACTTTATATACATCATTTAAACAAGTTGAATTGATGAGAGCAAAGTGTAAAGCATACGATTTCACTCCAAAGAAATTGAGCGAAGACTTTGCTCATGAGTATGTATAATACTTTTTAGGGAAGCAGATCTTGTCTTTGATAAACAAGTAGATCCAGTTATGCGCAAGATGGAAATCGCACGTTTAATAGCACCTAAAATAGCATTTCAATGGTTTAGTAACGTATATCTTGGCAGTATTTCTTGGCAATCTTATTTTTGGTTGCATGATGGTCTTGCTGCTTTATTTGCAGAAGAAGCTATCGTCAAGGTTTTTACATTTATCTTAATTTTCTGCATAATTTTTATTTTTTATAACATGAATGCCGATAGATGTTACACTGTTTTATAAAATCTATGAAAACAAGGTTTAAAATATGTTTAAATAATTAATATAATGTTCAAAAAAATTTTTACATACTGTTTCGTGATATTCAAAATGAATTATATGGACATTTTATCTCATTATATAATCTTTCAAAACTTATTTTAATAAATATTATTTGTTAATTACACAATTAGTAGGTTAATTACGAAAAATTGTTTAACAAATTTTTAGCAGTAACATACATAGTGTAGCAGCACATTTTACACCATATAAATAATATGCGATTAAATATATTTTCTAACTTAACATTCATGTAACTATAAAACTCTGTTTGCAGACTTTCAATAATTCCGAAATAATGGATTTCTTCATAGTACAAAATCAATACGATTCTTTACATTTAGATTCTTATCATATTAATATGAATCCTGTTTATAATATATCGAAGAATGATTCAATTTTCGATTTCCCTCGAAGCATGAAAGGTAAGAACAATAAAATAATCTTCTATAACGTTAAACATGAAAACAATATCAAAGAAAAGCAAAAAATGTACATA